CCCACGGCGCGGCCGTGCCGCCGGTCCTGGCTCACCCACGCCGAACGCTCGGGGGAAAAAACCCCTTTGCCGTTCAGAAAGAGCTGCAAAGCTCTGCCGAGAGCCGGCGCCGCGGGAGCAAGGTCTCTCTGCAGCCAGATTAGTAAGGAGCGTGGCGCCTTGGAGGGAGAGGAGGCTTTTTATTTCTTTTAAATTAAACATTGCAAAATCCTCCCCTCCTCTCTCAGGCTGCTCCTCCAGCCCAACTCTTCTCTGCGGTGGCTGGTACGGAGCCGCTGGGCCAGCTCGGGCCCCGGCGTTGTCTCCCGACAGCAGCCGCCTGATCTGCAGCGGGGAGGGCGTTCGGATCGAGCCAGCACCGATCCTGCCTGCCGGCGCGGAGGACCCGGCTCTGGACGCTGTACGTAAGCAGTGAACCCCGCCAGCTCCTCAGAACTCGCCTGTCCTTGAGCTCCGGCTGCGCTGGCGGGGAGAGGAGCGGGCAGGGAAGGAGGGCGAGCTCCCCCGGCCAAACCTTCCGTGCCTTTTCGCTTGCTTTGCAGCCCCGTCCCCGCCTGCCCCGCGCCCCTCTCTCTGCCAGCCTGGAGCTCTCTGTCGCCAGCGAGTCTCGCGGCTCAGGGGAGAGCCGCGGCGTTGGCTTTGGCACGGCCGAAGTTTCCATGCTTGGTTCGGAGCCTTTCTTGCTCCTCCGCAGATAACAAAGGCTGCTTCAGCGTGGCCTGGTGCCGCGTCCCGAGGCTGCAGGCAGCCCGAGGGCCTTGCTGCTCTTCCTTTTCTCTTTTTTCCCTCTTATTTTTATTTTTTTCTTTGCCCAGGAGCAGCCGTGTTAAAGCTGCGGCGCTCTGGGGGGCGCGAGGGGTCGGGACGCAAGGGCTGCGCACCTTTATTATTGGCGGGGATGCTTTTCGGAGAGCAACGTGCCATAGGTGTCGCGTACTCCTCCGTGCTTCGGATTCCTCCCAAAAATAAGAATAATCTGCTCGGGCTCTGGAGCATTCAACGTGGAGTCCCCCCTCCCGGGTGACTGGAGCGGCTGCTGGGGCGCAGATCTGACCTGGCTGGGAACAGAAAAGCCCGGGCTCCGTCGGGGATGTGCCTGCTCTCACAGCCTTGCAGGGGCTGGTGGAGACTGGGAGAGGTCGTCTTAATTCATTGTCATGTTCCCAAAGTAGGATTGGGGGTACCTGGACCACCCTGGTGCCCATCGCTAACTGTTCCCTGAAACTTCTGGGGAGAGGCTTGTCCCCCTGCAAAGGGGACTGGATCCCGTCATCCCCAGTGGTCTCCCCGACCTCATTCCCCCCTCCTAAATCCAGTTTTTGCTGCTGCAAACCCCGCTCTGTATCCACAGGGACAGAAGGCTGGCTGTTCCGCAGCCTCCCTCGGTACCTAAAGGGCTGCTTGCGCGGGGCTCTCGTCCTGCCCGAGACCAAGCCGACCCCCTTCGGCCGCTCATCCCACGGAGCCGGGTTTTCCAGCCCCTGCTGGCACGGGACGCTCCCCGGTTCACCCCTGCGCCCCAGTGCCGTGCTGGAGCTGGACACAGCTCGGCTCCAGATACAGCCTTTACCAGGGGAGAGTAAAACAGGCAGCCGGGACGTCGTGACGTGGTGTTTGGATGTTTTTCAGCAGGGTTGTGCTGGCCTTGGTCTGCGTTTCGCTATTCCCTAGGATTTTGTTATTGAGTTACTGTCTCGTTTATCTGCCCGCGCGTCCTGCGCTCCGTCTGCTCCCGGCGGCCCCGCGGCAGGCGAGGTCTGGGACTCCACGAGGTTGGTCTTGCTCCAAGCCGGGCTCCTGGCACTCCGAGCGCCCGCTTTAGAAAAAGGCAGCCTTCGTGTCGCAAACCGGCGGGCCTTTGCGAAACGCCCTCTAAAAATAAAGAAATCACGGCGGAGGCGAAGGGGCGGGCGTCTGCTCTGCCCAAAAATTCAGTGTTTTGGGGCAGGGGGCGATCTGTTCCCGTGCTGTTGTTGGTGCGGTGACTGCGGCAGTAACCTACCTGTGGTCTTTTGGTGTCTTTTGTGGCGGATTTAAAATAAATTGGAGGGATGGGGTGTGGGGTGCTGGTGCCCATCCAAGCCCTGGTCACAGCCGGGAGCTGCTGGCCCGGGCTCGAAGGCCAGACCAAGCGCGTTCAGACTGTCCATGATGGGTCAAAACCATGAAAAATAAATGCTGCCGGGGAGGTGTAGGGCTGCTTTGGAGAGGAGGAGAGGAGTCGGGAATAGTGCCCTGCCTTGAAAAGAGCAGCGGGTTCTGGTGCTGGAAGCCTGAGCTGCTGGCCATCAGCACGGCCGGCTGGGTGGCTGGCGTGGGCTGGGGGGCTCGGGGGTCCCCAGCAGCTCCCTCACCCCCTTCTTTCTCTTCCCAGAGTCAGTAATGATGAATGGCTCCGACCTCGCCAGCACGACGGCGTCCAGTCCCAAATCCAAAGAGGACCAAGTCGTGAACGGCCACGATGAGAAGGAGAACAACCCCTTCGCAGAGTACATGTGGATGGAGAACGAGGAAGACTTCAACAGACAGGTAAGACCCTCGAGGGCGGTTGCTGGCTCCGCGTTTCTGTGGCTAAAATTGAGGCGACGAAAGGTGTCCTTTGATGGGCACCCTGCGAGCCACAGCCGGCGTGGGCCCTGCGCGGAGATGGTGGCTGAAGGGAGGAGTCATCCTGTTTGTGTTGGATCTGCCTGCAAGGACACGGGATGGATGAAGTCAGCGTGGGGGGGGGCGGGAAAAACAACCTCACGATGCCTTTGACCCTCTTGGGTGTTTCTCAGAGGGACAGCGACAGCACCATCGTCATCTCCTGTGGTACCAGAGACCTTCACTTGCCGCAGGCTCAGCTGGAAGGAGAGGGCCAGCGTAAAAATCAGTGCTTGAAGTCTGAGAGCATCCTCAGCCTGGCTATCTCAGCAGCAAGTCCCGGCGGTTAGTGCCTCTCCTTTCGGGTAGAAGCCTCCGTTTCAGTGAAACCGTCCCAAATACGCTTGGAGTAGCCAGACCACGTGGTAGAAGCCTTGGCCGCTAGACGCCGTGTCCGCGAGGGCCAGCTAAGCTCTCGAGAGCTCCTGGTAGATGGTGTGGGATTCGAACAGCTCCTTCTTGTGGAATAACGATGCGACCCCGTGAGCTGGAGCAGAGCAAGCAGCCGTGCAGCGTCCTCCCCGTGCTTCTGCTTCAGGTCTTCATCCAAACGCCAGGGCAGCACGAGGCAGCAGGGACGAGCTTGCTGGGGGCTCGCTGGTCCCTCCTGCCATCATCCCAGTAGCTGGGGAGAAGTCAGCCAGCTTGAACTGGGCGGGGAAGAAGCTTGCCCCTTCAGCTGGCTGAGCTGTGCTGCTGGCAGGAAACCTGAAGTCTCCTGGATGCTCGTCCCTTCCCTGTAACGTCCCCACGAGCGTGGCCAAGTGCCGGGTTCCCATCACCGGGGGTGTCCGGAGACTTGGCAGGGAGGGACCTGTGGAGCTGCGGGCAGGCTGGGCGGAGCGATTTCACCTCCCCACCGCACCCCTGGTCACCAAAGGAGGATTTCATCAGCTTTACTGGTGTTCTCAGCAGAAAATCTCCATATGGTAATACTTAAGTCTTGTTCCCACAGGAGGAAGCGGCGGCCGCCCGCTGACGGTGACTCCGGGTGAGCGTGCAGCAGCCTTGTGCCACCCCGCGTCACCTGAGCCATTGGTAGCGGG